TGTCGGATCTTTAAAGTTGATCCAGTGGCAGCTCGCTAGATTGAAAATCGCCTGGCTCTTAGCAAAGAACCGGAGTCATCCGGAAAGTCACATCCGGTGTTTCGACCCGCGATGTAAGGGGAAAGTATCAAAGGCTTCAGGAATCGTCAAGGATTTTACGCACAAGAATAAGACGCTATCAGAGAGGCCTCAGCTTGTTCATGACCCGGATTTTTAGGGGTAGCACCCCTATTTGGCCCCTTGCTCGACAATGTATTTCGAGCATTTATGAACCTCAGACGATGCAACTGATTGGGGGCTGAGGCAGATTCAACTCCACCCGGCGGTTCAATCTGAACGAGGGCACGCCGAGTGAGTGACGAGTCGGCGGTAAGGGGTACAGACCATGCCAGGTCGAATGGTTCAACTCGGCAGATTTTTGTCTGCTGAACACCCGAAAAACCACCGCGATTCTGCACGCAAGGGTGTGTATCCCCAGACTGGCTTTTCGTCTCCGCCGACCTTAACTTAGCAAGCGGCCGTACCTTGCCACAAAGTCCGCCGACTCTGCCGAGAAGTGAAGGCGTAAGATGAATGCAAATCGCACCCGGATGATCACCCTCGTTGTTCTGCTGGTACTGGGAATTGCTCCGCCAAAAGCTCTGCCCGATGATCCAGCAACTTCGAGCGCAAATGTCCCCGAGACGCATGCCAAGTTAAGCCCTCAATACAAGTCGGCTGTCGAGAAACTCACGGCAGCGATCGAGCAAGAAGCCGAACAGAAGCAGTTGCCGGCCTTCTCCATCGCCCTGGTCGATAACAATGAAGTCGTCTGGGCCCGCGGCTTCGGACACCAGGATGCTGAAGAGAAGATCCCAGCCACCGCGAACACGGTTTATCGGGTCGGTTCGGTCTCAAAGCTGTTCACTGACATCGCCGTTCTGCAACTGGTCGACGAAGGCAAACTCGATCTGGACGCCCCCATCCAAACCTACCTACCAGACTTTCATCCAGAGAATTCCTTCGACATTCCCATCACCCTGCGTCAACTCATGTCTCACCGCTCCGGGATGGTCCGCGAATCGCCCGTGGGCAACTACTTCGATCCGGACGAACCCTCGCTCGCCGCCACCGTTGATAGCCTGAACCAGACAGGGCTCGTTTATCAACCGGAAACCAAGACCAAGTATTCCAACGCGGCCATCGCCGTGGTTGGGGCCGTGCTGGAGCAGCAACTAGCTGTCTCCCACCCCGAACGAGTTCGCGAGACGATTCTCGATCCGCTGGATATGAACGAAAGCAGCTTTGTCATCAGCAAGGCCGTCGAACCAAAGCTCGCCACCGGGTGGATGCGAACCTACGACGGGCGACGATTCGTGGCTCCCACCTTCCTCCTGGGCACCGGGCCCGCAGGTAACCTCTACTCGAGCGTGAATGATCTGGCGAAGTTCCTCGTCTGTCTCTTCAACGACGGAAAGGTTGGCGATAAGCAGATAGTCAAACCAGAAACGCTGTCGCTAATGACCACGCCACTCACAGACAGCAATGGCCAACCACTCGGGTTTGGGCTCGGCTTTCACGTTCAGGAACTCGACGGCTACAAGAAGATCGGGCACGGTGGGGCCGTGTATGGCTTCTCGACTCAACTCGAAGCCCTCCCCGAGCGGAAGCTGGGCGTAGCTGCTGCCGCATCACTCGACGGTTCTAACGGAGTCGTAGGTCGCCTGACCGACTATGCGTTGCGGCTGATGATCGCAACTCAGGACGAAAAGCCGCTTCCTACCTACCGCACAACGGGACCGGTTTCGCCGCAAAGAGGCCGATCGCTGGTCGGCACCTATTGTGAAGTCGACGGAAATCAATTCGCAAATGTTACCGAACTCAACGGAGAGCTGTTCCTGCACCGCGGCGTGTTCAAACACCAGCTTCGCGCGGCCGAAGACGATGGAACGTTGCTAATCGACGATGCCATCGGGTTTGGTACCCAAGTCAAGACTGAAGGGAGCGATCGCCTGCTCATCGGCGAGACTGAATTCGCACGACTGCCAGATGAACCACCGGCCAATATTCCTCAGGGATGGAAGGGCCTGATCGGCGAATATGGCTGGGACCACAACACGCTCTACATTCTCGAAGACCACGGCCAGCTTTACGCCCTCATCGAGTGGTTCTACTACTATCCGCTAAAGGAAGTCAGCGAGAATGTTTTCGAATTCCCCGACTACGGTCTGTATCACGGCGAAGGCTTGGAGTTCACACGCGACGCCAACGGCGTAGCTACCGAAGTGACCGCGGCCGAAGTGGGATTCGAACGACGCGAAGTCGGCACCAAGGATGGCGAGACGTTCAAGATTGAGCCCGTGAAGCCAATCGACGAACTGCGAGCAGGAGCGTTGGCGGCCTCTCCGCCACAGGAAAACGGTGACTTCCGTCAGCCGAACCTGGTCGAACTGGTTGAACTCGACCCCACCATTAAACTCGACATTCGCTATGCCACCACGAACAACTTCACTGGCGCGGTGTTCTACCAGCAGCCCCGCGCTTTTATGCAGCGTCCTGCGGCAGAAGCGGTGGCTCGCGCGAACGCCCGGCTGAAACCGCTGGGCCTTGGGCTGCTAATTCACGACGCCTACCGCCCCTGGCATGTGACCAAAATGTTTTGGGACGCTACGCCCAGCGAACTGAAAGACTTTGTGGCCAATCCCGCCAACGGTTCACGTCACAACCGGGGCTGTGCGGTCGATCTCACCCTTTACGACCTGGCCACCGGCGAGCCAATCCAGATGGTCGCCGGTTACGACGAGTTCTCACCCCGCTCGTTCCCCATGTATCCTGGTGGAACCGGGCGCCAACGCTGGTATCGAGAACTGCTCCGCCGCACGATGGAAGCCGAGGGCTTCACTGTTTACGAATTCGAATGGTGGCACTTCGACTACAAGGACTGGACCAAGTACCCCATTGGCAATGTCACCTTCGAGGAAATCCTCAGCCCATGAAACGACTAGCCTTCCTCTCGCTCGCTGGATTGCTACTACCCGGCCTCTCTGCTGGCGTTTTGCTTGCCGAAGAGCACACGCTGCATGCGTTCAATCGCCAACCTCTCACCGATATCTACTTCTCCGAAGGCGCCAACGCTGGCGATCTCAATGACGACGGGGTGGCCGACGTGGTCTACGGCCCTTATTGGTTTGCCGGCCCGGAATACGACACCAAGCACGAAATCTATAAGCCCGTTCCGCAAGACCGCAATCGCTACGCCGACAACTTCTTCTCCTGGGTCTACGATTTCAACCAAGACGGCTGGAACGACGTGTTCGTGGTCGGCTTCCCCGGTACTCCGGCCTATGTGTACGAAAACCCCAAAGCCGACGGGCTGGATTCGCACTGGAAGAAACATCAGGTCTTCGACTGGGTCTCCAACGAATCGCCGCAGTTGGCGAACATCCACGGCGACGAGCGACCGGAACTCATCTGCACCCGCGACGGCTTCTTCGGTTTCGCCACCGTCGATTGGGAGAAACCTTTCGAAGCGTGGCAGTTCCACGCCATCTCCGATCAAATCACTGCCACGCGGTTCGGCCACGGGCTTGGCGTTGGCGATGTGAACGGCGATGGTCTCCTGGATGTGATTCACTCCGGCGGATGGTTCGAACAGCCGCAGGCCGACGCCACGAAACATCGCTGGCCGCACCATGAAGTGTCGTTCAGCAACGCCTACGGCGGTGCCGAGATGTACGCCTACGACGTCGACGGCGATGGAGACAACGACATCATCACCAGCCACGCCGCCCACGATTTCGGTCTGGCGTGGTACGAACAAGTCCCCGGCGATGAAGAGCCCGCCTTCAAGCACCATCTGATCATGGGAGCCCACCCCTCAGAGAACAAGTACGGGGTATGTTTCAGCGAATTACATTCCGTCAACCTGGCCGACATCGACGGCGATGGCCTGAGGGACATCGTCACCGGCAAGACCTACTGGTCGCATCACAAGCAAAGCCCGATGTGGGACGCCGGTGCGGTCGTCTACTGGTTCAAGTTGGTGCGAGATGACCGCGGCGTCGACTGGATCCCGTACGAGATCGACAATCAGGCCGGCATTGGACGCCAACTCACCGTCGTCGATATCAACAACGACTCGCTGCCTGATATCGTCGTCGGCGGGATGAAAGGGGCCCATGTCCTTACGCATGTGGCTAAGTCAGTCTCGCCCGAAGACTGGCAAGCGGCTCAGCCCAAGGTATATGAAGGCGCAAAACTCCCCTCGACCGAGAATGCCGAAGCAACGCGAGGTCCCATACCTGAGTTCGATGAAGCAACGGGCCGCATAGCTGGTGCCTTCGAAGGCGAATCGCTGCAGACGAAAGCGTCTTCCGGTCGAACCGGATCTCAAAATATGTCTCGCTTTGAGGGCGGCCGCTGGAGTGGCGACTCGCAATTGTTCTGGACCGGTGCCCGACCCGGCGACAAGTTGACCGTCGAACTGCCTGAATTCTCAGGCACGGTCGATCTCGAAATTGTGCTCACTTGCGCCCGTGACTACGCCATCGTGCAACTGGCTCTCGACGATCAACCGCTCGGCCCGCCGATCGACCTCTATTCACCCGAAGTCATCTCCTCGGGCGTACTATCATTCCCCAAGCTCACCGTCCAAGGTGGCACTCACAAGTTGACCGTACGGATTGCCGGAGCCAACCCACAAGCCCAACCCAAGCATCTCTTCGGCCTCGACTGCCTCCGAATCAAGACGGCCGACGGATCGTACCTCGAAACCACTGAGGAATGATGCCTCATCCTAGAAACCGGCTCTTCCGAACTGGCGACAAACACTACTCGCACAGCCTCGCCTCATGAATCGCCCGCCACGACAACGTAAAGCATCGCTCTGGATCGCAATCCTTACATCGCTGTTGATCACCCCAACGGTTCGCAGCGAAGACCTCGAAGAAACCTTACCCCGCGTTCCCCCGCATGCTCCGGAAGACGTGGCCGAAACCTTTCAGACGCTACCCGGCTTCCACATGAAGTTGATCGCTGCAGAACCACTCGTGGTCGACCCTGTGGCGATGGTCTACGACGAGAATGGTGCGGCCTACGTTGCCGAAATGCGGGACTATCCCTACACGGACAAGACTACGGATGTTCCGTTCCAAGACCGCACCACCGACGAACCCATCGGGCGAGTGCGGCTCCTCCTCGATAACGACGGCGACGGTCAGTTCGACGAAAGCTTCATCTTTGCCGAAGAACTGTCGTGGCCCACGGGCTTGGCTTGCTGGAAGGGCGGTGTTTTCGTCGCCGCCACGCCAGATATCTGGTATCTGAAAGACACCGACGGCGATCACAAGGCCGACATCCGCCAGCAGGTCTTCACCGGCTTCCGCAAGTACAACGTGCAGGCCGTGATGAACAACCTCACGTGGGGGCTCGACAACCTCATCTACGGCGCGGCCTCGGGAAATGGTGGCACCATCGAACAGCCCGGAAAAGCGGATAAACCGCCGGTGCCTGTCTCGCGGCAAGACTTTCGCTTCGACGCCGAGACCCTCGCCTTCGAATCGATCTCCGGTGGGGCTCGCTTCGGTAACACGTTCGACGATTGGGGAAATCGCTTCATCTGCAACATCCGAAACCCGGTGCAGCATGTTGTGCTGCCGCGGCGCTATCTGGCCCGCAACCCGTTCCTGCCGGTGCCCCTCGCACTGCACGACGCCGCCGAAGCCGGAGATCAGCTGCCGGTCTTTCGCATCAGCGCACCGGAACCGTGGCGAACACTTCGGGCACAACGTTGGGCGAACTCCAGCGAACGAAGCTATCCCCGCAGTGAGACCGCCTCCACCGGGTTCTTCACTTCCTCCAGCGGAATCACTATCTACCGTGGGTCGGCCTACCCACCCGAGTTCTACGGCAACGCGTTCCTGGGCGAGGTGGCCGCCAACATCGTTCATCGGCAGCAGCTCTCACCCGCTAGCGTCACGTTCGACGCAGAACGCGCCGACGAGCAGCGCGAGTTCGTAGCCTCGACCGACAATTGGTTTCGGCCGGTCAATTTTGTGAACGCCCCCGACGGGTCGTTGCACATTCTCGACATGTACCGTGAGACGATCGAACACCCCTGGTCGATTCCCGACGACATCAAACAACACCTCGACCTGGAAAGCGGTCGCGATCGAGGTCGCATCTATCGGCTCGAATACGGCGATCAGCCGAAATCCACACCGACACCAAGGCTGGGTGAAGCCTCGATCCTGGAACTCGTGCAACATCTCGAACACCCTGACTGCTGGTGGCGAGAAACGGCCCATCGCTTGATCTTCGAACGGCAAGACCCCGCCGCGGTCGATTCCCTTCGACAACTCGTGCAGAGTTCTCCAAGTGCCCAGGCCCGTGTCCACGCTCCATGGTTACTAGATGGCCTTAGAGCCCTGACTGACATTGAACTACTCACCGCCCTCGACGACAAGGACGAACACGTCCGAGAGCATGCCGTGCGTTTGGCCGAGATGCGCATTAAGGATTCACCATCCCTGGCAGAAAAAATCGTCGCTCTGTCGGCCGACCCCTCGCCACGCGTCCAGTTTCAAGTCGCCTTCACCCTGGGAACCATCCCCGGCGATGCTTCCACCAATGCCCTGGCCAGTATCGCAGCGCAGAATCTCGACGACCCCTGGATTCGTTCCGCTGTGCTGAGTTCTGCCGTGAACAACACGGTGGACGTCCTGAAACAACTGGCTAATGACCAACACATTGCAAACCGCAACGAACCGGCCCCGATGCTCGAACAATTGGCTTTTATCGTGGGGGCTAGAAACGCCGACGAAGAAGCCCAACACGTTCTCGAAAACCTCATCGCCACAGATCTACCGCTAACCTTACGCCAGAGCATTCTCCACGGCCTCGCCGATGGTCTCCGCACTGCCGGCCAAGACGTAAACTCAGTCGTCGCAGCCGCTTCCCCGCAAGTATCTACCGCAACCGCACAGCTTTTCACGGCGGCCGAGACCACGGCTTCCCAAGAGGAATTACCCCTTTCCGAGCGGGAGCAGGCAATCACCTTGCTGGGAATGCAAGAATTCTCAAAAGCCGGCCCGGCACTTGCGGCTCTGGTCGACAATCGCCAACCCGCAGAGTTGCAACTCGCCGCCGTCACGGCCCTCAGCCGCATCCGTCACCCCGATGTCGCTCCTCTGCTGCTTGAAGGGTGGACGGGACATACTCCGGCGGTGCGCACCGAGGTGTTAGCAACCCTCATGACTCGGTCCGAATGGATCACCGCGATGCTCGACGCCATCGAGGAGGGAAAGATACCCGTCGGACAGATCCCGCTGCCACAGCGAGACAAACTCGTAGGCCACCGCGATGAGAGTATCCGCCACCGTTCCGAGAAACTTTTCTCTCAAGGAACAACCGCATCGCGTGCCGAAGTCGTAGAATCATATCACCAAGCCCTAACCCTCACCGGCAATTTGCCACAAGGACTTGAGGTGTTTCGTAAGAACTGTGCCACCTGCCATCAACGCGCTGGCGAAGGCAAGGCCGTTGGCCCAGCCATCGAAACGGTGCGGCACCGCACGCCCGACGAATTGTTGGTGCACATTCTCGACCCGAATAGGGAAGTCTCGCCCGACTACGTCGAATACTCGGTGGTGCTCAACGATGGCCGCACTCTCACCGGGCTAATCGCTTCGGAGACGGCCACCAGCATCAATCTCCGCAGGGCCGAGGGGGTCGAAGAAACCGTGCTGCGAGCCAACATCGACGAACTGGCCTCCGCCGGTCGATCGCTGATGCCTGAAGGCCTCGAAAAGTCGATCACTCCACAAGCCATGGCCGACCTCATCAAGCTGATCCGCAGCGAGAAATGACCGCCAGAACACTCTCTTAGTTTCACAATAGTGAGATACACCATGCCGCAACATACAAGCTTCCGCCGGCTATTAGTGGGTGTTTTCATTTTGTTTCTCGTCAATTCTCCGGCTCGTGCCGACGAAGCGTCACCCGTGTTCCAAGCTGGGGCGGCCACCAGCAACATCACGCCACCGTTGGGTGAACTGATCGTGGGGAATTGGGAACCGATCCCGGCCCGGCACATTCACGATGAGCTGCACGCGCGGTGTCTCGTGCTGGACGACGGCGATACGAAGCTGGCAATCGTCCTCTGTGACAATGTGGGCATTCCAGCCGAGGTGTTCGACGCGGCCAAGCAGCAAGTGCACGAGTCGACCGGCATCCCACCGAGCCATCAGTTGCTGGCTTCCACCCATACCCACTCGGCCACCACCGCACGTGGCAAGTGCAAGATGATTCGCGATACCGTGCTGACCGAGTATCAACAGTTTGTCGCCCGCCGCATCGCCGATGGTGTCCGCTGTGCGATGAATCAATTGGAACCCGCCCGCATCGGCTGGGGTTCGGTCGCTGAACCTTCGGAGGTTTTCAATCGCCGCTGGTTTGTCAACGACTCGTCGCTGCTCACTAATCCGTTCGGCGAAGTCGATCGCGTACGGATGAACCCACCGCGCGGAAGTTCCGCACTCGACCGCCCGGCAGGCCCGACCGATCCGGAAATCAGCTTCGTCTCCGTGCAAAGCGCCGAGGGCCGCCCTATCGCGGTGTTGGCCAACTACTCGCTGCACTACGTGGGTGGCGTACGCTCTGGCGACGTCTCGGCCGACTACTTTGGCTACTTCGCCCGCTTCATTGCGGAGAAACTCGATGCCACCGACCAAAGCCCGCCCTTCGTCGGGATCCTCTCCAACGGCACCAGCGGCGACGTGAACAACATCAACTTCGCCGAGAAGAATCCGCCGAAGTACGATCACTACGAAAAAATGCAGGAGGTCGCCGACAAAGTCGCCACTCGCGTTTACGAGGCCCATCAACAGTTAGAGTTCCACGATTGGGTCGAACTGGATGCGGCCCTGACACAGTTGCCTCTAAAAGTCCGCCAGCCAACAACAGAGATGCTCGAACACTTCAGTCGTACGATCTCCAAAGAAGGAAATTCACCCAGTACCCATCGGCGCGAGGCCATCTACGCCGAACGAATCGCGGAGCTGAAAGACGCTCCGGAGCAAATCAGCATTCCGCTCCAGGCCCTGCGAATCGGAGATCTCGCCATCACGGCCATTCCGTTTGAAACCTTCGCCGAAACGGGTCTCGAACTGAAAGACCGCAGCCCCTTCCCCCAAACCTTCACTATCGAACTGGCAAACGGTTCCTTCGGCTACCTCCCCACACCCACCCAACACCGCCTCGGCGGCTACGAGACATGGCTAGGCACCAACTTTGTTGAGGTTGAAGCTTCAGAGAAGATTGTGAACCGGTTGGTCAAGATGTTGGAGGGGTTCGAATCAACGAGTGACGAGGATCGGTAGCCGAATCCTGCAGCAAGTATTCAACCTAAACCTCTCAATGTCCCGGCGGGAAAATCTCCACGCCGTACTTGGGCGCAGCCTGCACGATGCGTTGTTTCTCCGCGTCTCCAAACGGTGGCGGTGGGGCCGTGGCGTCTGTCACCGGGGTTCCGGTTTCCTTAAACATCTCTTCCATCCCGCCGGGTGCGACGAGAATCAACATCTTGGCGTTCGCATCGCTGTTGTTGCGAAACCAATGCTTGCTCTCTTTAGGCAAGTTCAAGTAGGAACCCGGCGTGGCTTCAATCTCGTTACCTTCGTGATAGAACGTGACCCGCCCTTCAATCACGTAGAAGCCTTCTTCCTCATGATGATGCAGATGCGGCGGCGGGCCACCACCCGGAGGAACAGTCGCTTCCCAGATCGCATAACTCCCGTCGGTGTCTTCCTTCACGGCCAGAAACCGATACAGGTCGCCAACCGCGTAGAACTTCTCTCCATCATCAGGCCCACGCACGACCGGGCTGCGACTGTTATTCATCGGTAAAGCACCATTCAAAAAGCAAAGTTGAACCAGGCACGAATTTCACGTAACGCATCCACCTCGAAGCTTGATAGACAGCCCGCAACGATCGACGGATAATAGCATACGTGGCAAGTGGCTGGCACAAATGTTTCTCATCGAGCCAGCCGATGGATTCCCGACTCAACACTTTGCCGCGAGTGTGCAATTCGACAAGCAACTCTCAAGCGTCTCGGTGGGTATGGCTGCAACTTCATCAGCAAGCTCCGTGAGCAGCTCTGGCGGGATGCCCTCGCCGCCGAAGCGATCCTCGCGCCGCGCAGTGGGCTTTCGCTTGGCGGCAGTGCTTTTGGCGCTGGTGCTTCTGTTAGCGGTCGACCTTACAATCGGGCTCGTTTTGCCAAAACAGGCCCACGAAACGCCCGACCCGTTTGTTTCATTTCGCTCAATCCGGCCGCTGTTTGTCGAGAACAACGATACCTCGCGTTACGAGATCGCCGCCGATCGGCTGATCTACTTCCGTCCCGAGTCTTTCCCTAGGGTGAAGCAACCTGAGACGTACCGTGTGTTCTGCCTGGGTGGCTCCACCGTGCAGGGGCGTCCCTTCGCCATCGAGACGGCGTTCAGTACGTGGCTCGAACTGGCCCTAACCACGGCCGCCCCCTCACGTGAGTTCGAAGTGATCAACTGCGGAGGCATCTCCTACGCCAGCTACCGGCTGGTGCCGATCTTAGATGAAGTACTGCACTACGAGCCCGACCTCATCGTACTCTACACGGGGCACAACGAGTTCCTGGAAGACCGCACCTACCACAACGTGAAGCAAGCTCCCGAGTTCGTCGTGCAAGCCCATCGCTTAGCATACCGCACGAACCTCTACCAACTGTTCCGTTATTGGCAAAACGCCCCACGAAACGGCAACGAAGAAAACAACGCAGAAGCCAAATCCGACGCGAGCATTCTCGAAACCGAGGTGACTGCCCGACTTGATCACAAAGGCGGCCTGGATGAATACCATCGCGATGCGAAGTGGCATGCAGACATCGCACAGCATTATCGTGCGAGCCTCGACCGAATGATCGCCCGCTGCCAGGCGGCCGGAGTTCCGCTCATCTTGATCAACCCCACGGAGAACCTCCGCGACTGCCCTCCCTTCAAAAGCGAGCATCGTGAGGACCTCACAAAAGAAGAACTGAAAGAGTGGCGCCAACATGCCCGCGCCGCCCGGGAAAGGATGCCCGATGACCCCAGGGTGGCACTCGCCGAGTTGCTCGCAGCCGCAGAAATCGACAACCTGCACGCCGGCCTGCACTACCGGCTGGGCCGTTGCTACGATGCCCTGGTGATGCCCGAGAAGGCCAAGGCCGCCTATCGCCAAGCACTGGAACTCGACGTCTGCCCCTTACGCATGACCGAGCCCCTGCATGAAGCCCTGCTGGATGCGGCGGCCGACTCAGGCACCCCGCTCATCGACGCTCGGGCAATGTTCGAAGAACTCAGCGCCAACGGAATCCCCGGCGACGAGATGCTCATCGATCACGTGCACCCTTCGATTACCGGCCACCAAAAGATCGCCACCGCTATCGCCGAAATGCTGGTCCAGTGGAATGTGGTCCAGCCACAGGCCGACTGGGAAGCCCGTCGCAGAAAAACCTACGAAGAACACCTGGCCTCGCTCGATTCGCTGTACTTCTTCAAAGGCCTGCAAAACCGCGAAAACCTGCGAGCCTGGGCCGCCGGCCGCTCGGCCGAATTCTCGAAGTGATCGCGAGCCGCTAACGTTTCTCCTCGCTGACGACCTCCCCTTCGATCACCACCCCCGTGCAGTGCGTGGTGTATTCGAAAGGATCACCATCGAACAACGCCAGGTCTCCGTCTTTCCCACCCTCGAGCGAACCCACGCGGTTGTCGATCTTCAGTAACTTCGCCGCATCGCGGGTGATGGTCGCCAAAGCCTGCTCGAACGACAACCCATTCGCAGCAGCGAGCGCGGCCTCGAACAACACGACTCGCGTCTTCGGTACATAGGCCTCGAACCCGCTTTGCAACGCCACCGGGATACCGGCTTCGACCAGCTTCGCGGCCGTCTCGTAGCTGAGGTTCTCCGTCTCGCCAAAAGCGCGGGCCATCGTGGGGTGAATGATCACCGGAACCCCAGCCGATTTGATCTCATCGATCAGCAGATAGGCTTCGGCCCCGCTATCGAGCCAGAGATTGATGCCGAACTCTTCCTTCAACCGCAGCGCGTTCGCGATATCCTGCGCACGATTAGCGGTCACCATCAGCGGAAGCTTCCCATCGAGCACGTCGACCATCACTTCCAACGATAGATCGCGTGGGGGTTCCGAACCGGAATCCTCTTTCTTTTCTCCAGAGTCTTCCGAATTCTCGGCCGCAGCTTCTTCTGCTTTTTCTTTGGCCGCATCGCGTTTGTCGCGATACTCTCGGGCATCGATCAGCAACCCTCGCAGCATGCCCATCATTTTAGCGCGTGTACCTGGCGATTTACCGCCGGTCTTTTCCGCCTCGGGGCTGAGAGTCGCAGCCACCGCACGCACCGGCATGACTACCGCATCCTCCACGGTGTTGCCCGTGGTTTTTACGATCATCGTTTGCCCCGAAATCAATTCGCCAGGGGCATGTCCCGTGTGGATGGTCGTAACGCCAAAACTGCGAATCCAATCCACCAGCACCTCGCGGGCGTTGTAAGCATCGATGGCCCGAAGCTGTGGCTGCATGGCAGAAGAATGTTCGAGTTGATCCTGATCGTGGTCGTAGTTGTACGCCCCGGCTAACCCAACGACACTATGCGCATCGATCAAACCGGGCGTAACCACCTCGGCCTCGAGCACCTGAAACCCGTCGGGGATGTCAACTTCATCGGCCGCCCCCACGGCAGCGATTTTCCCGTCGCGAACCACAACTACACCATTTTCAATCGGCTCACCCGCCATGGTGTGAATTGTTTTCGCCTTAACAGCAACTTGTGCTTCTGCGCGAGTGGCCGCAAAAGTACAGATAACCATTGCGGCGATGAGTGTGTGTCGAATGGCGCTCATTGTTGGGCCTCCTGACCGAAGCAGCACAAATAGGGCTGTTGATCGTGGCCAGCTCCGAAACCACCCACGGCGTACAGCCGATCCTCAGGGTCGCTACGGTCAAACGCCTTCGCCCCTTCAACCCAAGTCTCCAGCACTTTTGAGTACACGCTCAACGGGTCGCCATCGAGAATGATGAAGTCGGCATCCTTCCCAGGCGTTAAAGATCCAGTGCGATCGTCCAAGTCGAGGATCTCAGCTCCCGTCAAAGTAAGCCCTCGCAGTGCGGCCGGGCGACTCATACCAGCCCGAACGCCGAAAGCCGCCATGCGAAAGAAGATTCGCGAGTCGGTGATCCAATCGTCGGTATGAAAGGCCGTCTTCGCGCCGGCCCGTTCGAGAACCCCAGCCGTCTTGAAGTTCACGTCCATCGCCTCAAGCTTCCCGCCAGGCGAGTCGAGCAGAATGATCGAGCATGGTGCCCCCGCTTCGGCAATCTCATCGGCCACCTTCCAGCCATCGCTGATGTGGTGCAGCACCACACGGAAGCCAAACTCCTGGGCCAATCGCAGCACCGTCATGATGTCGTCGTGACGATGGGTGTGATGATGCACCACGCGTTTGCCCTGCATAGCTTCGACCAGGGCTTCCAGATCCAAATCCACCGGCGGCATCTTCTCCGGATCGTCACCGGCCCTGGCTTTCTTCGCCGCATACTCTCGCGCTTTGATGTATTGCTCACGCACCAGGTAGGCACTCTTGCCGCGGGTGCCTGGGAAAGGGGCATCACGCATCGAGTTGGTGCCGTTGGCCATCTTCAGACCCCCGACCGGCTTGCCGTTTTCGTCGCGGATGAAGATGTCTTCAATCCGATGCGGCGTCGAATCGAATCGCAGCTTGACGTAGATCGTCTGCCCGCTGATCAAGTGCCCCGACCCGGGCATGATGTTCAGCGTCGTCAGCCCGCCAGCCAGCGCTCGCTTGAAACCCGAGTCGAGCACGTTCAGCGAATCGAAAACCCGAACCCCCGGCTGGATCGGCCCGGAGCCGTCGGCTCCGCCAATCCCGCCGATGTGACTATGCGTGCAGATGAGACCCGGCATGATCCACTTGCCGGCCGCGTCGACTGTCTTCGCACCGTCGGGTACTTCGACTTCATCCGCTGGCCCCACGGCGACAATCTTCTTGCCATCGACGACCAATGTGCCGTTTTCGATCGGCTCGGCGTCGATTGGGAGAATCCTCGCCCCGACGAAAGCGATGGGCTCGGCTTGGACTACAGAAGAAAACAACAAGAGCAAGCCGCCGATCAGCGGCACAACAATCCGAGGCGTTCTCATCAAGGGCGGGCCTTATCTAGAGCAAGCAAACTGTCTGGAAATCAGAACTTCGGGCAAATGCACTCCTTCAAGGGTAGTTCTCACCCCGCCGGCGTGCAAAGCAACCGTCTCGCGTCAGCCCCCGAAATCCGACGCTAGCTGACATTTGTGATTTCGGAGCGTCGTGTTATTCTTGCTGGACGGATGATCAGGTCAACTTCGCGGCCGGCAAGGATGGATTACGGCGATGGGTATGCAGGCTTTTCTCGATTTCGTGGAACGACGTTTCTCCCGCCAGATTGCTTCCCATTCGTCACTCGAGGCGTCCACCGGACAATTCGCCGAACTGCCCGAGACGCTGGATCCGCGACTGGCCACCGCACTGAAATCCGACGGGCTGACGCGACTGTACTCGCACCAGGTCGAAGCCTTCGACTCGATCCGGCAACGACAAGACACCGTGCTGGTCTCTCGCACGGCCAGCGGCAAGACGCTCTCGTTTTTGCTCCCCATTCTGCACAACTACCTGCAGGCAGAAGCCCCGTTCGGCGTGATGCTGCTCTACCCCACCAAGGCCCTCTCCCGCGATCAAGAAGGCACGCTAGGCAAGTTGCTGCAAGCCACCGGAACTGACGTTCGCCTGGGCACGTTCGACGGCGATACACCT